GGACTGTATTTGTTTTCATTTGGACAAAGATGGCATAGTACCCACTTTTTTGCCATGTTTTGATGGGGCTGCATCTTCCTTGTGCAGTAACTCCAAGAATACATGCATCATTATTAAATATCGACGACAGGGATTGAGGTCCCAGATATTTGTCAACAGTGAACCATGGGAAACCGAATTGGCTCCATTGTGTATCCTTCCGTTTTTTTGGAGAAACACGACTTCAAGTAACAGATGACCCGTCAAATCGGGTGCGTCGCCTTATCAGGTTTTTGCGAAATCAGAAGTACATATGATATGATATCACAAGCTTCATGGCTATTCGACTAAACGGACTTTTCTGAACCTCTGCGGTGTGGCGAGGGCAGTAAAAATCCTGGTGAACGATTACCCAGATATTTTACATTTCTTATAAGGTATCACTCAATCACAGGCGTATGCACACACAAAAATGCTCGCTTTTGCAGCTCTATGCTAATGTCCATTCAAGGGACTTACCGGAGTTGTGCATAAATTTTTCTGCCTGCTTTCTGTCGTACCAGTAAGGTGTCTTAAGTGCTAGTTGTGCAACCGCTTGGCGGTCCAGTAGACTGTCACAGCTACTGCTTGAGTTTAGGCAAAGCCCTGTTCCGTTTTTGTCTAGTTGATGAAGATGAACACAAAACACGATATAACAGTTTTGGATTGCATCGGATTTAGTCTGATGACACATCGGCCGGATGTCTACCGGAAGTCAGCTGCTTTATCAAAACGTTTTAGTAATATTTTACAGCCAAGTTTATCGGCGAACAGAACTTATAACAATGTTGTGGCCGTCCGAAAGAAGTGGTGTGAACTTCCAATAACGTGGTGGCTTTTTGAGCGATAAGCGAAACTCGTGATTATCATACCGGAATGTAGATCTAGTACACGACTGCAGTGTGTTATTTTGGTTATCGACAACAGCACACCAAATCCGCTACTCTGAGTCAGAATAGAGGGTCGATTGAGTAAATTGGGTTTTTCATTACAAGTAACTAGTACCCAACAGTTATTTTTAGAAAGCATCCGGTGAATTTCAAGAAGAGCATACAAAATGAGATGCTAGTCTCAGGCACGTGTGCTTCACTTGGCATAGTAAAGGTCTAGTGCCTGACTTAAGAGGATTACAACTTACATACAGGCACTGGTCTGTTCAAGCGTCTAGAAGCAACTAACCTTAATATCTGGATAGTTTTTACATTCATATGCACTGGAAACTATCCATTTAATGAAATCTGATGGTACCTTGGACCCCGCACCAAGAGGAGGCCTGTTTTCAAGCACTTTCTGAGTCCCGAGATCTCGGGCATCGCGGCCTTCTTACAGCGTCTCAGACAGATAGAAAATGGTGCATAAACTTACTAGTTCTCCCAGAGTCCTTTGGGGCCTCTCGAAGGATCGGTGTATGATCATCATGAATGCCACTGAGTCGATTCCACTACCGAACTTATTGCTTACGCAGAAAGCTCGCATTTCCACGGTAACTATGAAGGAAAGATAGTTGACTTTGGTTTCTTCTGGAAAGGAGAAGCAAGATTCATGAGACACATGAAAGTAGCCTCACGCTTGAGTGCTAAATTTGCACACACGTTCTCGTGGGCACATCGTAAAGTTTACTCTTAGTAGAAGATCAAAACGGGAAAAGCTGTCACAGAACCAGAAGAACAACGACAAGCCGAAAAGATCCATATTTGTAGTGTTAGTCTTCAAGTTGTAAAGATCCAGTCCCGGATAGAACGAAAGCTAGTCGCTATAAGCTCAATCATCTATAGAAACTGACACTAGCGGTACTTTTGGCGAACCTTGGGATATTATGCAAGGAAGCGGGTAAAATTGCAATCAACACAAAATACACGAGACATTTTGTCGTCCGTCGGGACGTGACCGCATGAAGTAAGTGAGGGCAAGGAAGTACGAACTCCCGGGTACGGTTGTAGTTAAACACATCACTCACTAGACGAAAACGAAAGATGCTTCATGCTTTGCTAGCGCGAGCACATGAGAGTTCATGCAAGTGTCGCTTCCGTAAATCTCGATGGAACAGAATTTCTCTATGACGTTTAGTGAATCTTTAGTACAACCCACTCACTGTTGGTGCTTCCGTATGCCATACTGATGATTTTGAGTAGTCCATCACTCTTGAATAGCTTGGTCTGTTCGGACGCCAAAATGGATACCCTAGTGACGAGGATTTTACTGTCTTTTTGAATGACCAAGGGCGACCTTCAGCATTTGGCATCAGCCTCTGCTCTTGAACAGGCAATAACAACAATTGTCACAAGTCTTAACCTGATTGAAAATCCCTTCCAGCCTACCATTGTCTTACTAGGCCGAAACAGACTCTTTATATCTGGTCTCCAATCCACGTCCACTGAAATCGATTGACTAATTGTCTGCCTACAGTAAGACAGCACAAAACTTTTCTTTTGATGAGTGAAGTAATGGACTGTAGAATAGCCCAGTGGATAGATATCGGCCGAGCTTGGAACAACTTTCGTGAAAAGCCTGCTAAGCTATGTGAGAAATTCGTTCCGATCGCTCTCAGACAACACATCCTAGCGATCTCATGGATCGAGTTGTAGTTAGAAGCGCTGGTGAACTGAAGGAAAAATTATAGGGCTGCTTTATATGGTATGGAATTTGTGTCGACTTTTTAAGCTAGATATCACGTCAAACTGTTCAAATAAAAATAGCAGAATACAAAAACAACAACAGCCTTTATTTGTCTACGTAAACCACGGAACTATATTTTGTTTTGGAATTTTACTACTTCTACAAGATGACCCGGGAACTTTGTAGGGGCAGGCTTCTCCACAGCCATTGTGATTACTTCGCAATACGCATAGGCATATACTCAAAATGGATTACTACTCTTTAAATCGCTCGTTTTATTGAGTTAGTTGATGACGCTTAGTCAGAAATTTAACGTTTTCTGTAGTTCGTCTGTGAACTGGATGCTCATTGTCCAGCGGGGACCTGATAAGTTGTGCCCTTCAGCCCTCAGGAACCTTGCACTGCAATGTCAGTCTATGAAATGAGACTGGATTGAGCTGAATGGTGATCAATAGTTGCTAGCTACAGGTCGTTTATTCTCAAACCCTTGTACAAATAATAAAGCATGGATTTCAGTGGCGCTTTAGCGAGGATGACGTTATTCGTTCCTCTGAAAAGTTATTTCAGAAACGGTAATTTTACACTACGGGTCTTCCAGAGGAAAGCCGACGGCAATATTAGACGCTGAATCGCACATGCGGAGTGATATATGTGAACATCGGCAAGACTTTCAATAAGCTCCTTCATCATCAAGTTTTGGGTTCACAGAAGATCGATAGATTTCTGTTGAACTTCTCATATCACCGTGGAGATCCTGAACAAACCAGTTGCACTCTGAGAGAGTCTTCATTATGAATGCAGAGTCACCACAAGGCCAAAAAGTTTTCAAGCAAATAACGTCATATTGCCAAGTACACACCATTCTGTCGACTCGTGCAGCCAGAGAGGGGAAACCTTCCTCCGAAGGGATTTCTGAAGCCATTTCAGAGAGACCTCGGAGAGGGGAGATACGGCGATCTCGGGTGTTCCGGGTCATCAGCTAAATCGTTTTTTTCATAAGACTCTAATCCCATCGTTTGTGCCATGGAAAATAAGGGGGACTAAAATGGGATTCTCCCGTCTTTGTTTTTCAATTGGATGGGCGAATGAGTGAGTGGAGGGAATGGGGTCAGTAAATGTTGTTAATCAAAGCACACCAAACAAGGTGCCGACCTGTAATCGTTGTACCAGAAGTTCGAAAAAATGCCGTTTAAATTGACTGAATCGGTAATTTATTTTATGATCAGAACAAAAAGTTCGACACACCAGTGTCTTAATTAAGTAAAACAAAAGTATTTCGTGTTCATTTGGCTCGTATTTACCACTTGGTAATGCGTACTTTTATTTTACCGGTATGTGGTATTTCTTTTGTACAAAATGGTGTTTTTAAAAAGCGTCCGGCCGGTAATGGGGGTTGGTGCTGCTGATCCACTGGATCATGTAAAAAACAATCTAGACAACAGTATAGTAAACCGGTGGTGGCGTAAACTTACATCTGCAGGACGGGTGCAACATCATTTCCCTCCAACGTTGAAAATCAGGGTGGTAAATAAGTAAGCTTCTTGGATTTACTCTATTAGCCAACAAGAACTACTCTCGACAAAGTTGACCAGATGGATGTCAACGTCCAAATTCTGCGCACAATGACGTGCACAGTCACCCATTTGAAGCTTTTCGATAGTTACTGACAGTCTGATGAGTCGTTGGAATCGGTTAAAGATGACACTTATTGAAAATATTTGCTAAGCGAAGTTTTGCAATTATGCGCCAGGTCATTTTGAGGGGACCAAAGAAGTAAATTGATGAAATCCGTTCGTTTATGTACCCTGCGATTTTCTAACAGAATAGCGGCATAATGGACTACGATTCATATATCTTCCAGAGATGACCTAAGTTCTAGTGGTATATTTAACTTTCTGTCCCGGTCAGTGATTTGAGGATGGATTAGCGGGAGTGGTTAGTTAGGTCAGTAGTAAGTGTTTAAATACCGCCAGGAACTGGAATGACGCAAGACTGGTCCGCGCGAACATGACAGGCAATCGTCAAAACATACGGAGTGTTCCGATCAGGAGAGATTTACTTTTCCTGCTGCAGATTTCTCCCTTGTTGGATGAAATTCACCGGAGAGGACCAAGGAGTAACGAGACTGTGCATGGAACAACCGACTGGAAAATAAGTGAAAGAAATCTAAGGCAAAACAGTCCTGCTCGACTTTAGATTTTGCGACCCGTTAATCGATTTTCTGACTTGTGTGAACCTGCCTCGTGGGTAACGTCAAGGTTCTTCATAAACCGGCCTTATGTCTTGAGTTTTCCGTCGAATAAAACATCAGGAAACTTTCAAACTTAATAGAACCATGCTCACCCAGAGTGATGATTTTAATTGGAGCGGATAAAGTGTATTTTCGGAAGTTTTCAAGCAGCAGGATTTGTTAAAGTGAAAATCTAGGTCAACGGTGAATTAGAGCATACAGTTTGTTCGAAAAGAGTGATCAATGATCAGAAAGCTGCATATGTTGTTTTACACTTTCATCTCACATGGATATTCACTGGTACCAATCTCACGGGGGGGGGGTTTGAATGATGATCGTTAGACGATAAGATAGGTTAGCTCCCCGTTGAAGCATTTTGTTGAATGAAACTAAATGTACACAATGCTGGAAAGGATATTGGAGAATATTGGGTAAAATCTGATATGAGGAATGCCTCCTCTGACATGGGTGAGCATAGGACGATAGCGGCTTGGACTGCCATTGGATTGAAACCAAGTTACTGTACCCGACAACCCTTCTTTAACTTTTTCCTTGACTCCACAGATTTACGAAGCTTTTCGGCTAGCTTTGTACGATGGATTGCAACCAAAGCCTTATAAAGTTCGTTCAGTGGTGACTGGTCGACATCGAGTCCATGCAACCATATGCACATCAGTCGGTAAGTATGTTGTTCGTAGGAGTGTTTACCTAAAATGAAGACATATTGCCACATGAATATGTATTCACCGGTGTAGCAAGTCATCAAAACAATAAGTTGCTAGATATCACATTAAATTTCTGTCACCCAATTTGTCTATGCTCTATTAAGCCCAAAGGAACAAGCTATCCTAGAACAAGCTATCCTAGGAACAAGCTATCCTAGCTTTCCTAGAACAAGCTATCCTAGCCATCCTAATTCAAACCAAGAAGAATGACTTTGTTAGCATTGAGAAGGTACTAAAATTTCTCAGGTAGATCCCATTTGAAAAGGCAAATCAAACGCTCAGTGATGATGGTCTGTGGAGATCTGGTCGTCAATTGAGGAGCCAATCAAAACGTAACCAAGTAATGTGGGTTCCGTGAGTAAACAACGAGTGGCGATTTATTCTGCATACATGCGGGTTAACCATACTACTGATCGCCGATCGTTCCCGAAGGGTTAGGTCTCAGACCACTAGCAGATACGCCGCGTGTTCAAAACGCCCTACTGGAGGTTCGTGAGTTGCACATTTCTGATGATTCCCAATGCAGATGAAACAGCTGTACAGTGTTTCCCGGCTTTTCATCATAGAGCTTTTTATTTCACAGGACGGAATTTTAGCTGCATATGTTTCTGTTGTATTCGAGCTTGAAATGCCAGCAGTAACAGTCTAAAACATCTCGCCGGATATTCAAATCCGCAACTTTCGGAGGAGAATCGGACCACTGCGTTCACACACTGCTGGACGATCAGCGAGTTACTTTGCCTTCATTCAGATCCGTCACGAAGAAACTGGACTTTACCGTGGTGTGATGGTTTGCGCACCCTGGCGATTCATTGAGCTATGCTGGGGATGTCAGCGCGACACCTGCAGACCCTCTCATACTAGGAACGAACACAGTCTCATGGCACTCCAGATTGGAACACATGTGGCGATGTGCTCCATAAAAATGTTAATACACTTGCATTTCCAGCAAAATACCGCTGCCTTGCGGTTAGGCTTTTGAGCCGAAGGCTTTGGTTGAGGACCCTAATCGTTTTCGAATCTAGGTACAGACGCCATGGCTTATCCCAGCTCTTTAGCGAACATTCCCATGTCCCCTCAACCAAATTCACCTAATTTGTCTAGTACATGCGTGTTTACTAGATCACGCGACTTAATAGCTACACAAGCGCATATATCACGTGACAAACGCCGTCCCGCTTGCAACTTTGACCGACAACAAGTCAGTTCCTGCCTAGTACGCATCGGAACGATTCATGTCACGTCAAACTTTCCTACATATAAGAAGAGACAACACAAACAACACACACACGCATCGCGCGCGCGTCAGAACACAAATCGGCTCAACACACCAAAAACCGCGGACAACCAGGAACGTGTAGCAGTGAATCTGCCGAAAGAAACGCCTACTTGCACCCAAACGAACTCGATGGAACTATAACAACTTACACTCAGAACGATAAGCCCTCTGTTTAAACTTTCTTATTTTTGGTATTGTATTTGACCTGACCTAGTTGTTGTAACCTCACGCTCTCAAAACACAGGTTTCATTAGTGTCTCTTTCTTGCCTTCTGATTTATCAAGTGGTTTTTGTTGTTAACAAAACAGAACACCAATAGCCCACATACAACCATGAGTCCCACAGACAGATAAACGCATGCTACTCGGGCCGCCGTGTGGTGCCATCAGCCGGGTCGCCCTACTCGCTGCATACATCGGGGCGGGTATGGAAAAACAAGCTACTGCTGACGCCTCCCTTCTTTATCTTTCCTTTTTTCTTCTCTCCCCACCCCATTAATAACTATCCTTGTAGGCCCATCACTTAGGGCAGATGACTCCGTTCGTTCTGCATCCGTTTTGAAGCAACTTCCGCGCGTCACTCAGCGCAGACATCCTCAGGAATCTTCAAGCATCAATCTACCTGGCCTCCTTCAACGTCCACACTCTAAAACAAGCGGGTAAACAAGCTGTTCCTGCTCTAACTCTGAACTTGCTTGGCATTGATGTGGGCTGTGTATCAGTAACAAGAATTCAAGATGCAAGCGCCCTGGATGAACTGATCGCCTCACCCTCTCTCCACTCGTTTCCGGCTGCGCAATTCTGGTGACACAGTGGCAACTGAGGCAGAATGTGCAGGGGTCGATTTCGTGTTAAGTCATCGGGCGGAAGGATCCTTGCTTTTTTGGATACCCGTTGATAGTCGCCTGTGTGCTGTTCGTCTCGCAACGTCTGTTAGGCAGTCTCAGGTGGGAAGTTGATCGATGTCTGATTGTCTTGTCCGCTTACACCCTATCAAAGACAAGCTTTGTGACTCTTTGAATGCTGGCTTGTGGCGAGCCAAAGGCTGATACATCGTTGTAGGTCCCATGGATCTGAATGCACTGGTGGGCAAGTGTAGCAATTCTGAGACTCAGTTTGGTGGTCGATATGAATTGGACTTGGTACGTACGGACAATGGTGAACGATTGCTTCAGCCGTGTACTGATCGCAGGCTGTTTTTATGCAATACTGGCATCTGAAATAGCTGAAGTTGTCTGGCCACATTATGTTCTCCAACGGTGTGCCGGCCACAAATTCAAATCGATCACTCCCGTCAGTTACCGATGGCGCGGATCAATAACTCGTTTTTGAGCACTTTTGTGGATTCTGACCACGTACTCACCCGGAGTCGCTTCTTCTTTCGTTTTACAGGGCTGGGTGAGGCGCGGAAAAATCACCCAGCGATGAGCGACTGCCAGATACTGATGTTAGACAAATTCACCAGAATCGACTTCTAAGGTATCTTCCGAACTGTGAACTCACAGTTGGCCGAGACTACCACCTCTCTGTACAATGCTGGGAGTTTTGCCTGTGCTACCGCACTACCAGGCTCACTCAATCACTAAAATATCAAGCGCTGCTTAAATCTGGGAGAAATATTCCAGCCGATTAAGAATATAACTTGATGCGACGGATTATCAGACGACTAGTGAAAGTGAACGTTGGACCCGACCGTGGATACGGAAAGCCAAGGAAATGGAAGACCAGAAAGCCAGTAATACCCCAAGATTACTTCAGCCGATCCGCGCAAGCGGTCCCAGCAGACCTCCAGTGAGCGAAACCATCAAGAATCAGAACGAGTTTACCATCTTAAATAAAGAACATCTCAGCCGATGTGCCAAATACTCCGAACAATAGTAGTCGTCGCCATCAGCGTCTACTCATTTGGAGCCCACAATTGACGTAGAACTTGGACAGCCTCGGAGTTTTATGACTGCACATGGTCTGTCAGGCACCATCAAGCTTATGGTTCGGATGTCTTCTCACCAGCACCGTTAGAAGATGGGCATAACATCTTCACCCAAAGTTTGTCTGATATGCTTGTCTGCATATGGGAAAAGGAGACCGTCCCAGACAACTGAGGAGAGTCGGTGATAGCCCCTATTTTCAGAATAAAGGTACGTAGTGAGTGTGGTAACCACAGAGGGGTCAGAGAGAGATTGGTGGCGTAACTTGTGCTCCTTGGCCTTAGGCTGGCTCGTAAAGCATTGACTCGAGAGCAGCAAGTAGGATTCCGGCCTGGTAAGAGTTGCCCCGGAAGTTTGTGAACATTATACGTGCTTTGTGTCCTCAGGTTTCCGGACGGAAGGCTTCCCTAAAAATCCGTACACAAAGCGGTCCACAAAAGATGCGTACCCTTTCCATTCCTATTTACTCTCGTAACCTCCTAAACCATGGTGTTCAAGTAGCTTGTGACGAAAACCTTGGTGATCTGGAATATCCAGACGACATCGTTTTCGTCTTCGAAGAGAAGAAGATAAGCTGAACAAAGCCATCCAGTCCTTTGGTATGTACTACGCACCCACAAAATGTAAGGTCATGCTCGTGGACATGCAGTCACTAAACACGCCACTTACAATCCAATAAGAGGCATTCGAAGTTGTGGAACGGTTTACGTATCTTGAAAGATGTGTAAGCTCTGATTGTAGTGCGACATATGAGGTCTGCAAGGCTTGAGTCGCGTCTGCTAATTTGAGATACCTATGGTGTCAAAGCCGTGTATCCCTAAATCCCAAGGGACGTGTTTCTCAGGCTACAGTTTGGGCTGTTTGTTTGTACGGCTGAGGCTTGGCCTGTTCGAGCAGCAAAACTGAGACTTCTCCAGGTGTTCAACAATCGTTGTCTCAGGACCATAGCTCGTGTATATTGGTGTCGGAAAATCCGTAAAGAAACAACTGGAAAGCAAGCTTTTGGTTGTGCAACGGGTACTTTCATTGAAGGATGTGTCAAGCACCAGAGGCTGTGTTATTTAGGCCATTTATTGCACATGCCAAACCAGCGTTCGCCCAAGAGAGTGCTTTTTCTCGTGACCGATTTAGAGTGGCGGAATCATTGTGGCCAACCCTTGACCTGACAGATGGGTATGAAAAAGATTACGAAGGGTTTGTGTGCTACCGCTACTATTCGCCTTCCAGGATTCGGACTGCGAGATCCCCAATTCACTTGGTCGGAAGCGCTGAAAGATATGGCTGCTAATCGATATCTGTGGTAGTCTTGTTGCCAGCTTCTGCCCAGATCGCCTGAATGAGTGTCTGGACACGCTACCTGTTGTGGTGTTCTTGTTGCCAGCTTCTACCCAGATCGCCTGAATGAGTGTCTGGACACGTAGGCACCTTGGAATGATTGTAGTAAGCTACCTGTAAGTCCCCTTCTCATCCATATTCATTCTTTTCTTCATAATAAGGCTTTCAGTTAAATAATGATTGTGCGGCAGCGAAGCATCACTGTTGGATAATGATGTCACGTTATCCATGATGATAATGATGACTAATCAACTGCGCAGATTCATGTGTGAAGACTATTCAAGGGAATTTAAATCTGGCATATGTTATTGTCTTTTCAATCTTGCTTCAGTAAGACCCTGTCAAACCTGAAAATAGTTCGTAGTGGCAAGTTGAAACGGGATGTCCACACCACGGCGCCTTCGGGAGATGGAAAGTTTGCACGGCACAAAGAAAGAGACTGCAGAATTTGCGGTTTACATTTTGCCTCCAAGTAAGGAGGAAGTCTCAGAGAATAAACTTGGTGATCATCAGTTATTTCGTACTCTGGACCTCCTCGAGCAAAATTGCTTTTTGATCAGATACCAAGGAGACAGGGTGAAACTGTGCCTGAAAATTTGCCACCCATGGATAGAAAGCAAATACATACATTTCTTTAGTTGTAACACGCTCGCATGTCAGATGTTTGGAGTGTAAATCCGGCACGATCAAGTCCGGGTAGTGCTAACAAACTCCGATAAGAGAGGATTCACCGGAATCATTGGGACTGGTCAGGAGAAGATATGCTTGCATGAGTGTATTGTAAGCGTGACTTTAACAAGTTGGCAGCTGCAATTGTGCACGATAATTTGTTTATCTAGCTGATTGATGTCAAAAGGGGAATTCACGTGACAGCAATAGGCCAAGCCATGATAAGCAGTCGTGATTGAACACATAGATTAAAGCAGTATAAACTGTACCCAACCGCTTAAATAACTCTGTTGATACACTCCGGGTGGCAATTTTTGTCACCTGATGAAAAGTTTGGGGCCTTTTTTCTTGTGATAGCATTGTGGAAAATTGGAGTTTGCATCAGAAAAGAATGTTAGCCACAGCCATGTATAACATCACGAAAACCGAAGAAGTCTTGTTATTTCTAGGAGCAAACGTACCGACTGATGAGGCTCAAAAGACAAGTGAGGATTTTTCGTGTCCTGTTGGAGGTATGAGGGACATGAAGCTAAGCCAGAGCAAGTCCTCCTAGATGTTTGTTAATCTGGAGACCTTATTCCAGGGCTCGCGGTGGCCGGAAGGAGGAGTCACTGATTTGAAACCCAACAATTTGAGTAGGATTGTTGCGTAACAGTATCTATCTATAAATGTTGAATATGCACACGGCTGAAACAGGACCTGTTGTTGAACTCTACTCATAACCATATAAGGATGGAAATATCAAGTCTTATTCCGACGTCTGAAACCTGCCGCTACCACAATCCCGCGACTTTATGGATTTAAGCAAATATCAAGTTGTCATTATCCTGGCTGCAGCACGTTCAGTCAAGAAACATGCAAGAGATCCAGCTGGAATTCAAGTGAGTCTCCAGTGGACACCAAAATGGTATGCAGAGTGCTTGTATTTGTCAAATTTCTTGCAAGTTGAAGTCAAGTAGAGCATAAGGCTGTCGGAAACCCGGGGACTGGATCTGCCAGACGATTCCCAAGGAAAGCAAAACCGATCGTTGGCTGTCGAAGATTTTTCAGCTACCTCAAGATACTATACAATGGTACACAATGTATTAAATATATTTTGACCTCTAATTACTCTGTTTTCTTGTGATTTTAGTTTTACTTACAAAATTCCGTAAAAAATATTCTGAAGTCATAACTGGTTTCTTGTTAAAGGGAGCACTGTACTCAGTGATCATATGAAAAACAATTCAGGAAACATTCAAATGCGGTTAGGTGTAAATCAGCGTGTGCTCTTGGCTTCTACCATGTTTTCTATATGATAATTCAGCGTAAACTATTCAACATCATTTAGCTACAGCATCTCTCTATCAGAACAGACTAGGAAATCTCCAGGTGGGTCTCCCACAAAACCAAATTTGTTTGCAAATAACTTCGTGCAATTTGGGTTCAATTTGGGTTCGTTGTTTCGTAAGGCATTAGTGAATATTGGTTTGCCGACAAATACTTGACGATTTAAATTGAGTTTCTTGGTTAACCCAATTATATACGAACTAAACAACAGCGCTAACAGGTCTGGGTTAAGGTGGATTGTAAGCAGATTTCAAAAATTTCGCAGCTACTCATAAGTAATTAAACAATATTGTCAAGTGAACCGGAAAAACGCAAGCGGTGCTGGAAGCGAACTATAGTCCTTCAAAGCTTTCCGACGACGAACTGAGTAGCCAGTGAGTGATTTAATTGGAACAGGAGGAATATGTCCGGTCATATTTTTCAAGCACTGATAGAGGATAAAAATGCTGCCGGGGCATCATTTCGCGATAGCAATGACTGTATCCTACTGATTAGCGGTAGCGGATGTATGGTATAATCTAATTGAACAATGCAAACTTTAAATTCCTGATTGAAGTAAACAAGGAAGTAACACATCTCCCACCTGTATCTTGATATTCAATAGCAGACACATGTTCTTGTTTGAAATTCCAAACGGCTGCCAAGGCCTTCCAGTCATTTGGTTTAGAATATTCTTTCGCCAGCTTGAAGAACAGAACCTTCATTTCTTCAGCGTAGGGCTATTTAAAATCAATCCAGTCAGAATTCATGAATAAATCCGTTAATGAATCATTATGGCAACAAACATTTTGAACAATCAATGGCTAAATTATTGGGGATCAATATGAAATAGGAAAAGATGGTGTATATTGTAACTTGGCAGTTACTGTCCCCTAAAACCAGCAAAGGCCCCTAATATAGACCTGGTGCTTTATCAGGTGTTGTACCTCTGCACACAACCCTCATCGCTTCTTTGTCTCATTTCCCTTAGTAGTCTCTTTACAATTCATAATGCAACGGAGAGATACTGCACAGTATTGTCAAAGTCTTGGTACTGTTTAATATATCTTGCCAGCGAGTGAGTTTTCTGGCACTGTTATACATGGCAACCGGCTCAAGACAGTACAAAATAAGAGTGAATAATCCAAGGCGAAGTTAGAATTGGAAACCTACCTGTCGGCACATCAGTAAACTGAATTGACCTTCCTCTGATAGAGCGTAAAAAGTGCTGCGTTTCGCTGAGGATCCATTGGTCATGGAATTCTTCCCCAGGCATATTACTACCTCTCCGTTGGGAAGAACCTGTTCTTGCCCGACAATTGATCGGTTTCCCAAGCCCAAGTTTCTTGACGCATTGGTATCGTGTAGTTCAAACTGGTGCCAATTTGTAGACAGTAGGTCATCTTTCAGCGCATGCTGGTTAGTTCGATCGCTTCCACCATCCCAAACGCGAGCTGCCTCGAAACCGAGGGAAAGCTCGTCACTGTAGTTGTCCGAATGTGAGAATGAATCAATCGGTGCTTCTCTGGTAGTACTTGTAGCTGGAGGGACAATGGGAAAATCATGGAACGGGTCCATAAAGTTGGACTCGTTCATATGTGAGTCAGCACCTACTTGATTGTGTAAAGTACTATTGCTTTTCGACTGTTGTGCGGTTGGTTGACTGGCACGCCTAACAGATGTTGGTGTTCGGTAGCCAACGTCCGTTTCACTGTCAGTTTCGGTAAGACTTTTTGCAGCCAAGCCTACTGGATTTTCGTAGACACCAGGAAGGTCTCCGCTCCCTCGCCATTCACTACTTGAGCCTGATTCCGTGGCCTGCCCCCCATCGAGAGTAACTCGTCGATAGTCGTGATTATCCATAAAGTCATTTGCCGAGTATCCTTTATCATATGCCAAATCATGTGTCATCCGATCTCCACCATCGTCCTGGTTAAGTAACCTCTTTCGTATTTGAATGACTTCGTCCTGGAGTGAAAAAAATGACCACTAATTGTGACTGTTGCGTCAATGGAAACTGACTGGAAATCCGGACTTAGCACTGAAAATCTTAACCAGATTGTCCTCTTCATTGCCAACGCGCTGTTTTAAGTGTACCTTCATACCGTTCTAGAAGATTTTAAACAACAAACAGGAAATCCTTGCGTTTTTATATCGTAACATGGTGATGTAATATACGATGATACCGATCCTTATTTTTGGAATACTCAAACATTATCAAGTTCTTTTATACAAACATGCGAATGCACAAGGAAGCTATCAGTACGGGTCTGCCGTCGTCTACAATGATGGGTTTATCCGTGGTCAAACGGCTGTGTTTGAATTACGACTGCGTTTATCAAGTAGTTCAATAAAGGACACATATAAAACACCCTTATATAATTGAAATAAACATCACTGGCTGGTGTTTTTCAGTTTCATGATACGCGGGAAGACAATATTGTAAATGAGGACAATCTTTCACTCTCCATGATCCCGGGTGAAGTATCTACGCTGGTTTGGAATGGAAGTAAGAAGTAACGTGACCAATCACTAAATGAGTTTGCTGAAAAACTTGGCTGCTGTGGTTGTACATTCAAATAATATGGTCCAAAATCTCTTCGCATTACACACAACAAATGAGCATGCTTCTGACTAACAATAAAACTCATTGAACAAAAGATGTCCCGAAAGCTACTAATTGTTTGAAAATTATAACGCAAACCGTTTCCTTGAACACAATTGTTCTGAATAACAGGGGCTGATTGATACGAGCTGGTGCCCTAGAGAAGCGTACGTCCGCAAAACTGTGAAGACCACTACCTCCATCTACTGTTACTGTAATTTCTCAGGCAGTCAAACCTTTGAAGAAAACAGAACCCGCGTTGATTAGGTGGGTAGATCACAACTGAATTAGGCTCTTCACACATACAGTGTACGAAGCATAGAATCGCAGATTTAGACCTTGGATTTATAATAACTTACCGGATTCTGTTCCCGCCAACGATCAGCTTGTATAATCAAGTCGACCAGTGTGCTATAGGATGCCCGGGCGGCAACTTCCAAAGGAGTGATTCCATCCTAAACGGCAGTAGTGAGGCATAATTTGCACTGGTGAGGAATAGTTTTTTCAACCGAAAACTCTAGAAAATATCCGAGTAGTTAAAACTCTTGTAATCGAAAAGCGAAGTGGCCCCTTGAATAAATACACCAAAACAGATTGCTGAGTTTATTCACTTCAGTGGAGTATTTCACGTAAAAGGTGACGTATCAACAGGCTTCGTCGCGAGAGATCTTACACAACACTAAGTTGAGTGTTGTGAGTATGGCTTCTCTCTAGTAGGCATTTATTTCTCCGTTTTCCCCAAATCTCTCTCTACAGGGTAGCGTTCTTCCATGAAATATAGCGTTTGATTGAGTGGTTGAAGTTTATTGACCATGAAATGACAACCGTCTGTCAGACGATATTGGGAACTTAAGAGTGGTAGTCACCAATTAGCGAATAGTCGTAGTGGGAGCATGGGCTAGTTTTGTGGGAGAAAACAACGAACACTTGTAGAAAAGTATAGTGAAGGAACATGGACAATAGAAAAGCCCTGTGAACAAAATTGCACAACACCGGGTTAGAACGAAACACTAAACGAACCCTGCTCTATTATGAAGCCCGACACAGTGTACCGGTCACCTATATAGGTGACCGGTACACTGTGTCGGGCTTCATAATAGAGCAGGGTTCGTTTAGTGTTTCGTTCTAACCCGGTGTTGTGCAATTTTGTTCACAGGGCTTTTCTATTGTCCATGTTCCTTCACTATACTTTTCTACAAGTGTTCGTTGTTTTCTCCCACAAAACTAGCCCATGCTCCCACTACGACTATTCGCTAATTGGTGACTACCACTCTTAAGTTCCCAATATCGTCTGAAAGATGGTTGTCGTCAGCCGCCCCCCACCAAACTCCGAAAGAACACTGACTTTCTGACTAGCTGGTCGATGGTCATTTTACTGGATAGCTGAAATGGTAAAAAATAGAAGGTATGGTAAATGTCCTAATAGAATTAAATCTTTACTTACTAAGGCACCTAACTGGAAGGTAGTCTGAACCCATAAATAAGAAACCAGAGTTGTAGCACGAGACTTCTAGTAGGGTCTTCGGTGTTTATCCATCGAATAAACCCCTCGTAAAATTTCAGTGTGAACCGCTAACATTAAGAATGAAAAAAAAATTCAGGGGGGAGATACTCAGCACAAACTGTCATGGTCGCAGTGATAAGTGATTTTGTGCACTCTCATCTGTCCTGTTCGACTGGTCACATACGATGATGCAGATCTCTAGCTGTAACGCACAGACAGACAAATTCACATGATTATGTTTCAATTAACCTGAATCAGTAGCATCTAGACTGGACCTATCGATTGAGGTTAACTGTGCTTATCAGTGAGGCTCATTTTTCTGGCACACTTTGTGCTGTGCGATTGTTGTGCACCCAGTATGATTCGTATCCATTGATTAATGCACTCAAGAACTGTGCAACAAATGCGCAGTGAATTCATATACAAGCCTTTGTTGCTTGCTGCTCGACTCAAGGTCTCCACATGGTTTGTTACCGTTTGAGTTAGTCTGATTGCATTTTCGGAAAATTTTCAGAGAACGTAATCCAGGCACAATCTACTTCAGACTGTATTTACCATATATAAGCAATCAGGATTCTTTTCGGCTGTAGCTGTTTGGTTGGATGCACATGATTCGATGCACAGTGGCACCAGTCTTTTATTGGTCTTTCCATGTTGTTGTTGCCGATGCTTTCTTTGTGTTTTCTGCATACCTGTTCTGTAGAAATCCCACCGGAAATAATCGATTTCCGTCGTTTATCTTCTTACTTCAGGTGTATTGATTTGTCTCTCCGCTTTCATGAAGAGAAACTGAATGTAAAGCATAGTGTGGTTTATTTGGTGGTGGTTGTTGAGGTAAGTCACTGTCTCATCCGAGGGTATTTTCTTCCGATTGACATGTTCGAAGATGTTCATCCATAGTGTTGCTAACCAGTATCTCTCATAAGTGTAGATTATTATTCTTCTTGCAAAAATTCATTCATAAATAGAGTTGAGCAAGTCATTCGCAAGCTGCACTGCACAGAGTCTTTAGAAGGTGAACATTACCAAGAGGAGTCTTGAACTTTCCTGGACGTTCGTTGAGTATTAGACAATAGCAAACGAACACTGCAAAGCAGTTCCACAATCCCTGTAGTAACCTTCACCTTCCAACTGATGAGGTAGCGGGACAGCACGCGCATGCTCCATCAGTATTATTTACCTCAACGTTGCCACTGCGGAGTGCTCCAGTGTCTGTATTGATCCCTCGACGATGAATCCGGATACCGATGATATGCCTAAAGTCCATTCAAACCGCTGATAATTTTTTTTTTTCATATGATATATGTGCATGCAAACGTCTAAGCGCTAGCATACGCTTGCTACTTGCTTGTTTTCTTCTGAGGTAGCTCTGTTAAGACTTTGGCCAGGTTATGATAACTCTAAGTCAGTAGAGTAGTAACGTTAGAGGAGATCAGAATTCCGTCACTGTCGCAAACGTCTAAGCGCTAGCATACGCTTGCTACTTGCTTGTTTTCTTCTGAGGTAGCTCTGTTAAGACTTTGGCCAGGTTATGATAACTCTAAGTCAGTAGAGTAGTAACGTTAGAGGAGATCAGAATTCCGTCACTGTCCAGTTTAGTATCCTTCAGTTTGTTCAGAAATGGTCCAGCATTGCTTCTGATTGGGCAGTCTAGTGAACTCACCATTCAACGAATGGGGCTGATAATGCGAAAGACCAATCATAACCAATGATCAATATCGGGCAAAAAAGAAATATACGAGGGCAATCACAGGACTGCTGAAGACCTATACACTGACGCACTGCGGCGCACCGCTAGCTTTATACTCACTGGTGGGGTGAACGTGAACATTTGCAACCAGTCCGCTTACCTCGGTTGACAGAAAGACAGCTGGCTGTGCTAAGTGATCCATCTGCATCATCGTGGCCAACAGTGACAAAATCATTTATTTATTTATTGATGTACGTTTAAAGTGAAGCAAAACCTATATGAAATGCACATAGCTTATTTGCAAGCCGTCAGATCCGTCCACTGAATATTATCATGTATGCTTCAGACTGCGCCTTCTTATTTTGAAACACTTGGGAAAGATTCTAATTCCAACTCCATGACAGCCAGTTCGTAAACCTAATCTGGAAAATTACAGCTTTATTAGTTTACACTAAAAGAATTAAGCCGGTTGCAAATCCAGAGGCCCTCAATAACTCAATCCATGTGTGAACTCTGGAAGACGGGAGCAACGAGAGGAAATTAGAAGTCAGTGAGTTTACCTTGCACTTAACGCCCAGGCTCGCTCCAACCAGGAGAAGCGCCTCCACGGTTTCCAACTTGTTTTGCTCTACAGCAAGGTGGAGTGGAGTTTGACCACGCTGAAGGTAAAAGCGGACAGTACGTAAAAGCGGTATTTGTTTAGTATAATTCAAAAGAATTGGACTTTGTGGAGATGGTAGGCTATAGTTCATTTTGGACTGAGGCAGTTTGGGAAAATACCTAGCCCATATGATTTATTCACACGGCTTAGCAATAGAGCAGAAGTGTTGAGCAGCCATAGCCATGTTTTCTGACTTAATGTTCAGATAGTAAGAATGCGTTTCCCTGGGTTTTTTAAGAGGGGACGTAAAAGGCTTATCACGGCTGATTATATGAACAATGAAAGATATGCTTATGCAGGGAGATATCCCGTCCATTTCTTAATAGCTGCTGATTAAGTTTAGTAGGTTTTGCAATTGGTTTGGAATCTTTTGACTGCCCATCTTACTGCCATATGGTCAAACACTTCTTTGTATTTTAGTGACAGTTTAGTCCGAGGTGGCCTGAGGACACTTTGTGAACCTGTACAATTTCAACACAAATCCTACAACACCGAAGCAACCAACTAGATTAACTAACTGTAAATATCCAAACAAATCATTGAACCGTAATAGTAATAATAACAATTGTTAATCTGCAACACTGCTGCTATGCCACGTGAAGGAAGCACCGCCAAATTGTCCAATACTAGACAAGAGCTGTCAAGATACTGACGTCGTCTTCTAACCACAAACCTTCTGGTCAATAAATTTGCACCTTCATTAATTAGCTGTTTATTTAACAGTTTTAACCGTAATAACCGTAATAATGAAATCAGATATGTTTGGCCCCGTCCTGCAGACTGCCATGCCAGTGTGCACTAGGATTTACCGAATGAGCCCTTGAAGCACGGTTACATAATAAACATAAAGAATGATAGATTACACTGGGTGTCCAGTTGGGTCATTTTTCACGCAACGTTTTAATTCTAGGCAGCAAAACTGTTTGAACGAACACAGTCAAAGGCCCACCTCCATAGGAGGTATATGCGTGGCACCGTTGTGAGCGCTGATGACCCTCTAGTAGACGAAAAATATCTCATCCAGTTTAACAGTGCGCAATCCTCAATGAAGAATATACTTAAGGAGAAACAACAAGCGAATTCCGTTTCCCCAAGCTGGTCATAAGAAAAAGCACTTAGTCTGGACAGATTGTGTTTTGAAGAGGAAACCGATTACCAAGTCAGCCGCTCATTGTGATTAGGGAAACATACAATCAAATGGTCCGTTCAAATATCAGGTGAATTTTCATCCACGTAGCTCTCAATATTGACGCATCCATTGTTTACAATCTCCGTTCGTTGGTTTCTGTATTTGAATATGTATTCTGCTTGTCTCCGAGTGTTGATGCTTGCTCAAAGTCAACCTGTCCACATATAAGTATTCTTCTGAACGCTTCCCATCATCACCCCGAACCCGTAGTTACTTGGCTCCAACATTTATCAGTAGATGCTTTCTAGGTCAGTTTTCCTGCAATAAATGACATCTGTTTTCCCCATCGTCCTTTGGTTCATTTGTATGACTACAACTTCATCACAAGAAAACCTGTGAGCGATATCCAAACCACCTAAGTCCAGATCCTGAAAATTCCAAATCCTCTGCGCAAAGTGCGTAATGCACTTAACCCAAATGGCCTGTGTAAAATGATATATTGCCTAAAAGTAATTGAACGAATGAATTGTTGTTCGGTTAGTTAATTAAATAATTAACTATTTTGGTTCCATGCTTCTGAGATGTTATGATAAAGTGGTTAACTGCCTGGTTTACACTCGACAATGTATCTGCAACCAAAACAAAACTTCGCATAGCGTCTTCCACATCCTAAAACAGTGTGGTTCACTGTCGCTTTTCTTCAGAGGATGGTATCAGGTTGTAGACCTGCACACAACGGTCGCACAAACCGATGAAATGTGTTTTAGTAGTTGACTAAATTAAGAATGTTAAGAGTGTCACTTAATGAGCCTGGAAAGATAGTTCGAAACACAGATAAAGTCTTCAAGTTGTTGCAAATGTGCTCAAGATTCCTTCTTGCCTCGTTGGCAAAAGTAATGAACCTGGTTTACCACAACCAAAGGATGAACGTAAGCGATAAAACCCTCTTTCACGGTCCTAGTGTTCTCTTGTACACACCCGCTCATTGGCAGCGTGTCGTTCATATACGGATGATCTGGTTAATACTGTATGTTTGAAGCAAATTTGGTGGAATATCTACGACTGAATTTGTGGTTTTGTAGTCACTGGGAGCTCTCCAAAACCGCCAGCGGTTGTGTAAAGAGGTTTTTATCTTCTCAGTCGGTAACTGGAAATAGTTTGTGCCTGTTTCCCTGGGACCCCGAATAAGTACGTGTTCCTGCAGTCAGGTTACTTGATTACTCAGAAAGCCTAGTACAGTTCAGTAAAACGTTAACATGTATTGTGCTTTTGTGTCCTAGAGATCGTTTGAAGTTTTTGCTTAAATTGGTAGAACAATTTCTTTGGTTTCTTAGTATAGGGGAGCTTTTGCCAAGAGCTACATTTTAGATGTCACTCTGATAAGATAGTCAATACGAAAATGTCAACCCAACCGTAACAATCCTTGCTATTGTAAGATGTTTGATTTTTGTGATAGCTTCTCCCCATAGTCACACTTGAATAAAATTGATCGGTACAGTGCTGAAGCGACACAGTAATACATCGATAAAATCCACAGCTTTATGGCTTTAGTCATCAATTATCAGAGAGAGAGCAAGGTTCACCAGAATGAACAGCGCACTATCTGGCTCGTACATTGTTGGTTGCTTCTACATCAAATTGATGCCTTATTAGGAAGTAGATGGTGTCCGGCAGATTTGCCAGTGTGGCTTCGTGAAGTGCGGAGTTACCATTCTGAAAATGAAGAACAACAAAAACATAGAGCATCTGATAAAGCCAGTAAATTGCAAGAAATCGGCCTGCAACAACGTTGGACATCGATAAACATCTTTCATTGCAAAGCTTTAAGACCCTCCGTAACGACACCTTATGCATACGATGAGTTTTTCATTACGTGTAAACTCGGATTGCAGATAAACTGGGGGCTCAACAATACACAATTTTTGTAACAGACGGTGAACAGAAATTAGGAAGTATAAAAATACAAAACAATTAAATTGGTTTACTGAAAACTAGTTACCATAAATTATATGAGGATGAAAGGACATTGAAAACAGCAGGTAATGTTAAATTCCATGATTCACGGATGAAAAGAGAAGGCAACTACTGATAAGTTTGATACTGAGAAAGTGTGATCTACTGCTGATCACTTGAACAGACAAGATGAGACATAGATTCGAAAAGAGCAGAGACGGAATCTATTTGAAAAGTGTACCTCCCACCCGCCAAATTACATACCAAAACATCAGTCAAGCATTGAATTATTCTCCAAAACAGAAAGTCTAACTTTGTTCAGAAAATTTTACAAGGCCAAGGAAGAAGGATAATTTCTTTGAGATAGTTTTTGTGTGAAGCCTAACGTAAGTGGATTGCAGAATGTCGCGGTGGAGCCTCAAGTATAATAAAATACAATGGACCAGAAAAAAACTAGGATTGTGCACCAGAAAAACAAAAGAAAAACAAATTCATGAAGAAGGGTTTCAGTGTTGAACTTAGCTGCGGTGGCTAAATTTATTCCACCAATTTAAAAAAGCAATCTTTGGGTCTTCACAATTTCTCCGGAAACAAGAGTGCCGGGACAATCGAACGAAGGTGAAAAGAAATCATCGGCAAACGCGTAGATGCTCAAAGAAGTTTAAAGAAGATTGGTGATATAGGGCATAACTGACTAACGACTGAATTGCGTGGCCAAACTGCGGGCATTTGAAGGCTGTCGCATAAAAACATATGGTACAGCGTTCTCGAATAGTCTATTGATCCGGTTTGACATTTCTGGATGCAGGCCATAAAATAAACGCACATTAAGAAAGTCGGCTTGCGATATTTCTTCAAAACCCTCTGGGATTTTATCAGCACCGGCACGGTTTCAGCAAAGATGTTAAGGATACAGCGTCAAGAAATATGAAACCATTGTGCCTAAGTTCATACTGGAGGGTAAAGTAATACCCATGGCTGTCTTAGGAGAACCAAATGCGTTTAAAACTGATTTGTCGCATAACTTAACTATACACAACACATACAATAAATAAAACACCTCATATTTATATTGCTGTATTATGTAGATCAAAGAGAAAATTATGTAGTGATCAAAGTAGAGTTGATTTGTCTGACCTCGTGTTGCTTATGGGCGCTTTCTATCGTATGCCGCTGACTAACACGTACAAAAGTACTGTAGAAAAACATATCACTTAACCACAGCTGAATTCAAGAATGCTGCACAAGATTAGTTATGCGGTCGTGGAAACAATTTCAATTTCTTCCATATAAGCTGTCCTCCTTAGTGTTCAAATTAGGGCACAAGTTGACTCCACATCACAAATCTTTTAGTTTTTGGAAAACTGCAAAGAAACACGGCAGTCACTGATCACTCACTTTTGTTGTGGCCTTCCGATTTGCTTTGTGAGCCAGCAGGGTTTCTATACATGTATGGTACCCAAGCCGGGAAACTTCAATAAGAGGAGTGTCTTTTGTCTGCAGGGAAAGTCGAATACATTTTGATCACACATGTTAGTTTTGTTTTGAACTGCAATTGGGTCAGTGACACATTCGACGATGGCGCTTTAAGGACTACATCCCTTTAGTGTGTGTGAAAACTGGAAGGTTTTTTACCTCGTGTAGCTTCTGGTGAACTACCTAAAATTTCCATGCCTACCAATCCCAAAAATAGTAATTCTGAGTGTGGAACAGATGCTGATCAGAGTGGTCTCGCAAAAGAAAGCAGTCGTTGCATCTTCAGTCAACGACTGGTTGTTTTCTCCTTGTAAAGGACATCATTTTACAGTAAAAAATAGTCTGATATGTGACCAAACACCTCACCCTGCAGTTTCCATCGAGTGACCAGGTTAATATAACTCAACTGAAATTTGACATCCATCCATTATATGACCCTCTAAACTGGATGGTTAGGTGTCCAAGTAAACTTACTGTTGGTAAGAGTGCGACTGGATTGTATATTGCTTGATTGACATGGCTTATTTTATAAGACCCTTAGGCTAGCTTTCATATATCACTAGAGCTCAATTGTTCACAGAATGTCCTGATAGTACCGGCATGTCCATTATAGTGAACAACGGTACATGCCAGTGAAAATGCCTGCAAGCGCTGTACGCCAATCCGATGTGCAGTTTGTTGCTTTAGCGTGGCAGATTGTTATTTCAAACCTTTTCACTGTTTGTAAAAGGAAATTCCTTCTGTCTCGTGTAAACTAATCGGGATTTTGCTTAGCGTATCCGTTCACTCGTAGCGGTTGCCGTCTGGTTCTCTGGATGTAAAATGACAATTCTGGGTTTGGTCGGCCTTTGCATGTAAATAACATCTTGAGAAATGGAGCGTTCGTGTATCGTTCGTGTATCGTTCACTAACATATATATCAAAATGTAACATGTTTCGCCGGAAATATTGTCTGACTTAAATAAGGTCGTCCATGATACACCTTAACCATGATTTAGAACTGCTCTCGCCTTTTCTTAAAATATATTGGCATCTATTTTGGGATGCTGGAATAAAATTTCAGGGATGAAGGATTTCACACGACTTCTTAAGTGACCATGCTGAGCATAAGTGTGACTGGATATCAATTAAGTCAACATTTATTACGAAAATTTAATGTCTCTGAAGATGTCATCGCACTGAGATAACTTGAAGTTTGCCCAAAATACATGTAGGACTGCTGATGAGACAAATAAGAAATTTTGTGCGCGCATCTCTTAAATATGCTTAGATGTCTTGGGGGCCTAAAAAGGCTTGCCTGTCTTTTACCCATATTCCTATCCAGAATAGTCTTCTACCCCATCCATTATTGTTCACCTGCTGATAATCAGGGATCTGAAAGCAAACAATACAGCGACCGCCTGATGATCAATTCAGACTGAGTTGAAATATTCTCAATACGCCGATATACACTTTTACCCCATTGGTATAAGTTGTACCCGTCTCGTAGCCGAAAGTATCGCTCTCTGGAATTCCTAAAATGCTAGCGAGGGAAGAACACTAGGTCTGTGAATATGACCTGACTTACCATATAAACGACTCGTGTAAAACATCAAAACCTGCCAATCATAAACAAGAAGTGCTGCTTTGGAGCGATCAGTTGGACTGGTTGGTACTGCTGAAACTATGACTACAAAATAACAGATGGGCCCATGCCAGGGCAAATCAGTGGTAAGATTGTAGGAATATAGTGAATATCAGCTGATTTTATTACTCGATGCAGGACTAAAGAAACTGACAAATTCAAGGGTTTGAATTGAAAACTTAATTCTATTCGCTTCTTTTCAATTTACTGGGACAGTAGCCAAGGCTAAAAGTTGAATTCTAACAGTTATATAGAGGCTGTCTTTTTTTACAATAAAAATCCGCATGCTTATTTATTGTTTTCCGTAAAAGTGGGGCAATGCTGTCTTATCGTAGCTCGACTGCGCCAAGCCAAAGTTCCAACTACTATCATTCAACATGTTAGCACAATGCGTTATCACTGTTGCACTAGATATTTTGAACAGACTCGTCCAAACGTCCGGTAGTATTAGGCCTTCAATGATGTGCTTGGTTTTGCCTCTCAGTTGGCCCAAAAAACCAGCCATGCGTAGCCTGTCCGTACATCCTTTTCATGGGCCTCAAAAGTGTTTTTAATTCAGCAGTTGAGGTTTGGGAAACTTGTGGTATAAAATTTCTGTATAATCTAGACCACCAGGTGACTGAATGCTGGGACTGGGTGTGACGTCTCCGTTGGATTCGGTCAAAAAGAGACTTTCATCCCTCACCAAGCGCTCGTAACGCATTGTTCTAAAGGGGATGCTTATTTCCAAGACTAATGGCCATCCAAACCTGTGAGGTGTGGTTGCGCAACTTTACACGTGCCGTTAAAAAGTACGCGTGTTACCCGGTGGAGCATGTGCTGAGTGCAAACAAGTGCGAGGGTTCATTCATGGATGGATGTATAACCTTGACACTGATTCCCTGGTCTGTTCCGTAGCTCGCACATGATTTGCTGCTCGAACACAGCCATTGACACTGTTTACAGGGCTCGGCTCTGAAGTAAAAAATCTAACAGCTCGACTGAGTAATCTCGCTAGAGTGCCCTTATATGGCTAGTTATGAAAATATCATCTACGTGGTTACTGTAACTGACCAACACCCTCAAAGAAGCAGCCTGAATGTGATTGATTCTGAACCATCAGGTCATTCCAAGGTCATGTATCACTGCGGATGTCCCAATTATTGCTCCTCTTATATATATATATATATATATATTCTTTGTTCTTTATTTGGAACTACTGCCAGCTTACTTATTGTAGACCTTATAAGTGACCTTATAAGTGCACAGGGCTGGCAAATAAAGATATCGAGGTTATACATCGCTATAGTTATAACACAAAGGATGGCATGTCATGCAGTTTCGAGCAAAAGATTAAACCCCGCGTTTCACTCACTTCCTTGAAACTACCAAATTTCCTCGTCGTAAGGATAAAATAATTAGCACAAAAGCAAACATTAGGAGATCCACCTCACTCAAGCAGATTATTGGTTGCTTACCTCTGATGTGATGTCAGGGTTCGCTCCGGCAATCAGCAACAGTCTCACTATCTCCTGTTGATTCAAATCTGTCGCGTAGTGCAGTGGACTATTCCCCTGTGAATCCTGTAGCGAATCGGGAAGGATAAAAGTGCTGTGATACGGTAACCGCTTTAGAGAGTGGCCATTCTCAAACATCCTAAAGTGGTAATGCAGCCGTTGTATTTTAACTTGGAACGACTCATTAAAACTAGTGATTTTCAGAAGAACACTACTTTTTAAAGCCAATCTGGTGAAGATTTAAAAAATTTTGCGAAGCATTTTCATTTTACAGGCAGTGCACATTTCCAGACACAAAAAACAGCGGCAATGTGTATGACTAATTCATTCAGCTACTGGCAGCTGCTTTAAGTATAATAAACACGTGTCACCAGGCTTAGCTCAGAGGAGCCTGCTATCAGAGGGGATGTTTCACAGTTCTGAAATGCCCTTAACTCTTAGGGGATCAAAAAGCACTTACCAAGTCGTTAATTAGTTCCAACATCTGAGGCAGTTTGAGAAGATATGCCATCACACCCATGTGACCTTTCCATGCTGCCAAATGCAGTGCTGATCTGCCACGCTGAAAACACCAGTTAAAAATAATCACTGTTTGACCGAAAGTTCAAACGCAGAGCGCAACAGAGCTGTACAAACTGCCATTGTTTCGAAACTAATTTGGGATAAAAACAAAACATTTCTCCCATAAGGAGCAAACACATGAAGTTTTGTTTCCTACACAGCCGAAAACTCAGTACATTGAAGACTGGCATTGTTAGATTTTTCTATAGGGGACTTTGCATCTCTAGTGGCGGAATAAGTGTGTCTCTGAATTTACAATGTCAAGGTATTTTGAAAGAAATCAGGCAAAAAAGTGATCGTTAGGTTTCGTAAATTTAAGGGATTCAATTTAAGTAATACACAACGACGGTTAAGTTCAGAATGCAAAATTTTTCATCTCTATAAACATTTTGAAAAAGAATTTGGGTGCAAGCCCATAAAATAAATGATTGATTTGACTTGCTTCTTGGTTCAGGTTAAAGGGATTGAAGCGAGAACATTCTCATCTAGATACCTCATGAAAATGACATACTGAATCGGGTGTTACCCTCTCCGTGGTGTTGGGAAGTGCTCAACAACCTGTCACCAAAGAGAGGAACCTGGCCAATGGGCGTGTTGGATCAAATATCATCATAATTTTCTCTTCCTTGTGATGTTCTGTTTTCAGTCCTCAGAATTTGTCCATATCCGCTCACTAGTCTGGTTTTTGTGGCGTTTTATGAGCCTTAACGCCCCCTGTGCGCCAGAAAATGCGGTGAAGGAAATGAACATTCAAATAAACTTTGAGCCATTATGGCTAGAATATCACTGCATTATGTTGATCCACCTCATGTGCCAGTGATGTTATATCTGCTTATTTTTTACCCCTTTATTTTTGGTTTTCAATTTCGTTTAACAAAAATTCACATTCACTACTCTTGTATAAACAATTTTCTTTCCACCCTGACGTAGTTATGGTGAATCCAAACAGAAGAGGAGAGGCACTGGACTCGAGTTTCGCTCTTAATAGAGCATATTTCTGCGGTATGATCTCCTGATGCCTGACGTGTGGGAGAAGCTCCCTACTAATGAACAGACGAAAGCCTTCGACCGCGGAGTTGTTTGTTGGAAAACACCAACTCACCAGTTACAGACTTTTGTACAGGGGAGCAAAATTATCATATGCATCTTATTTATAAAAACTGAATGTCCTTCTTCTTGAAGGCGTTTCCTTGAACTTTCCTGGATACTCATTGACTATCACTCAAGTTTAAACAAACACTGCAAGGCAATTCCACAAATTTCGTAATAAATCTCACCTTTCGATAGATGCGAAGCGGACTTTCGAGAAAACCACATACTACTCACATGCCTCATCAGCAGTATCCACCGCTACACACATTCCCTGTTTAAAGGTCGTTCACATGCCACTGATTTTTACTTGCCTCCGTTAATTCGGCTCCAGCAGCTGGTCTATTCCGCTGTTCTTCGGATGTATCATGCCACTAATGAAGTTGAGTTTCACTTACTCTTTGGATCTGCGACCGTCTTGAATTGTGTAGACGTTCCAATGGCGGCCGGTAACGACAAACGGACCTTGTCATTGGCTGCTCAGCTTCCGCGACCCCAGTCCACTCCTTCCAGGATTCTGATAATCCTTCCACCTGGCCTTCGCGCCTATGGAGAACGGTCGTGCCTTTCTACTTGCCATTTTCTCTCTAGTCGTCTCCTGAACGGCGGTCAAGTTTTCTCGAGCTTTCCCCCTTTCTTCCTCTAGCTCGGGAGACAAGTGTGTTGCTCACCTGCCCAACTCCTGCAGGCAATTCCTAAACTCTTCGCTCTTGAAGCAAGGCCCAGATTGGTTAAGATCATTTTTGGCACCCCATATTTGGCCACGATGTGGTGCATTACCAACTCGTTGATCGTCATTGCCCATTGATTTGATATGGCTGCCGCTCCGATCCATCGCGACAGGTGTCTTGTCATTATCACGATATGTTTATTTCCGCTGCTTGTCACTGGAAAAGGGCCCTTGACTTACCGGACCATAACTCGCCGATTTCCAAGACAGAAATGAGCTCCATGGGATGAGCTGCTCTTGCCGTATCCTTTTTCATTACATGGCACCGCTTACAGGACATCACATAACCCATTACCTCACTTCTCACCCCGGGTCGGTAGGTCCTCTGCCAAAGTAAGTCGTACGTCTTGGTGCGCCCTGTGAGTGCCACCTCGTAGCATTCGACGATCAGCTTCTGTCTCAAGACAGTACGACATCAGAATTAGTGGAATTCCAGGAAATTACGACAGATTTACCAATACTCAGGCTGTCGAAATGACTCTGGAATGTTTTTAATTCTTTGTGTCCCTCTTCTTTCTCAATACTCCCTCCATCAAACAAGGCGGTTGCAACCTTCCGTAACATATGACAGTACCGATACTGTTGCACCAAACTTCCGGGATTCAATTTGACGACGATGTTTTAGCATTAATCGTGGTCTTGGGGGCTTAATCTCCAGCCCCTGGTCTCGACAGCCGATCAGCTTGGTGGTTTCCCTTCCCTCAGAGAGTTTCGTATCCGCAATCTCCCGGCTGGTAGTTTGAACATTTAACTGTCCGGTCGGGAACATCATGATTGGCTCACGCTCTGCTTGACACTCTGATCGACCGTAACCGCATAACTAAATCATGTTGAAAGATGCAGCTTCTGCTGAATGACTGGAATTTTGCAGGACCCGTAGAAACGACTGGAGCGCCGACTTGCACTATTTTAGTTTGTAAGTGCGTGTGGAATATATATTCTAACGGGAACAAGTCTCACTTTAAGCGGACCACTACAAAGATATTCAATGATAATGCTTATGGCTCCAGGAAGGAAGGAAGGGAAAATCAACTTTGATACGGAATGATGGTGATTCCAATGCATCCAATTAGTGACCTTTCAGGGGAATTTTTAATCGAACATCCATGTCAGATTAGACCTTACACCCGGAAGTCAAAGACTATTACCAATTTAATCAAACATATCCGAAATTAAATTAACCACGCGACTTGCGCGGTCAGCGAGAGAGCATCAAATGACAGAAAATGGTGAAGACAAAAATAATATCAAACAATAATAAAACAGTAATAAGGATAAATAACAACGACGTCAGATTTTCTGAAATCAATTCTTTTGCACAAGAATCTGGTTTTACATGTAGCTCACCTGAATGAAGTTGGATCTCTCGTTAATGATGACTTAAAATTTTCCCCCAGCAATAATTCTAACGTAGTATAATGTCTGCTCCTGTGTTACATACTATTCAAGCTACCAACCTCTTCATGCTAAAAGGTGTTATCTAGGGTCGCTTCATTTCTATTAGATATGGAAACCTGGCGGAGTGCAGCAAATGAGCTGCCAACTGTAGTGGATCGTTTGAGTTATGTAGCGTAGCGCGAGCCTGTGTTTGCTTCACGTATTAGTTACTACCTGCGTTTCAAACACATTTGTTACGCAAGCACAGCATACGTTTTTATTACTTCGGAAGCGAAAGCTAACCGTCTATCTTCCACTGCTTCTCAATGGTTTAGAAATCGCCGGAGACGGTTTTACCGTCTCCAAATCGTTTCAGATACCCTCGGATGAATGCGAATTTGGTTTAGATGGAAGAATAAACTGAGTCCAGCCGAGTCTCGTTCATAATGGTTTTCTGTATATCGCGTAAATTTCTGTAATCCAAACGTTCTCGAATAAGCATGTTGTCAGGACTAACAACTCCAAACTCTCACAGCTTCCGTCAGTGATAGCCAAAGATACAAGTTTGGTTCGAGGAATTGCGTATTCTAAAAAAAACTGTTCCATCTACGAGGACCCAAAAGAATCAACTTTACTAAACGAAATAATGCTCTGCAGCATTCGAAATGGAGGCACTGGATTTGATAATTTGTAACGTTTGCCTATCCTCTTTGCGAGCTCACTTTGTTGAGAAACTGTCCTAAATTGGAGCAGCCGTTCCGGTGACAATCATCTTTTCGTGTTTCAACCCCCACCAAGGACTACCATAACATGTAAACGAAAGTCGTGCACGCACCTCACATACTCTTATCAGCGTATTAACCTCTTAAAAGCAGAATGGACGCCTACTGTGATGAACTACAAAGAGTTACTCATCTGTGTCAACATAATACAAATTTACCCTGTCTTTTTGGAGGACATTGCATCGCTGCTTGTAAAAAACCTCCATGAGGGTCTGATTGCCTCGATGGGCTGCAACAAGAAATGGTGTGAGTCCAGTCTGAAAACAGATAAGTAAAAACGATGCGTGATTTAGGCAGCAGCATAAAGGAAGTTAGGCTGATATCAAAAAAAGTGTGTGACTACATGGCTGAATGGATTGCCTTGTATCTCGACCATCATGATAGAGAATGTTCAAAAATGCAGAAGTAATAGGCATAGAAAAGGTTACTAAATATTAAATATCTCCCTTGATTACATGGTAATGACTGCCAAGGACATAAAACCAGCAGCAGCTTTGTAAATTAGGGCGGTCAAGTAAAAATAAATGAATGAATAACTCTCTCGTGTTGCCACACAAATACTCTGGCTATTCTAGGCAAAACTGAAGGGAGATGAATACAAGTGTCCCTGTTAATAAAGCTCACTAGCAGTGTGCATTCTTGGTATGTGAACTACAATTATCCAACATGCGAGACGGGGGCATTTACACTAAACCATGCCGTATTAACTCCGGGTTTAATAACCGAATAAGCCAGCATGCCCACGCATAAGCGATACGACTGGCTTGCATGAAAGACGAAATAGCAAACATTGTGGCTATTTTAATCAATAGCCACGCGTGTCGATTTTCAGAAATGACGCAGCGACACGAAAGCCTGAGAGCTGTTTAGTAATCCTGACTGAGTACTGTGAGTAGTGATAAAATATGCAACAATTTGTATAGACCTTATTTCTGACTTGGTGAGACACCCTAAGAAGTCGAAACTTAGGTTCCCTACCTCCAAAGTTTGACGAAAAACCACCAGAATAATTAAAAGTGGTTCAAACGAAAGCTATACGCATACAAATTTCAGAGACCCAACAATGATGCAGCGAACATTGTGAGCATCAAAACTTTTACCATTTTAGCGGGTTGATGGCATACATCCGTCCTAACCTCCTTCTCCTTTGTTCTTCGAAATACCCTCGTCTGATTATAAAGATAACCACTCTTCAGCAAGTTATCTTGTTTCTGTATTAGTGTTAATATCAAGACTCAAGTTATCTGTTTCTGTATTAGTGTTAATATCAAGACTTTAAGAACATTTATCGACCATGCAGATGTTAAAAAAGTGAGTTCACAAAATATATATTTTTGGGTAAAATTAACAAGTGTCGGTTATCTTAAAATTCTCCATTTGATAGTAAACGAGATTTCTAGGATCCTTATATTGTGAACTCCTCCAGTTAATGCGATAGATGGACATGGTTTTATACAACCTGACATGGTCAAGCTTGTTTTCGACGTTGTATAGATATTGGACATCAGAATAGTGCGCCTTATCAGGGCTAAAATAACTCGGGTTGAATAATTTTTGTAACATTTACGAAAATAACCGGTACTTTACGTGTTTTTAACGGCTTCTCATTCTTCAAGTACCATAAGGGGGTTGTAGTAAATCTTTTCAATGTTTTTGCATGCATGAAGCTCACATAGATGAAACAGTTTTGTTCTGATTATTGAGAGGTAGCAGCTAATGAAAATTATTTGTGTACATATAAAGAAAAAAGGGAGTTCTGACTCCGCGGAATAACACGAAAGATTCCTAAGAAATTTAAACCAATACAGTTAATGGTATTTTGACTTGAGAAGTATTCATACGCACAGTACACACAATGTGGATGCCTGAAACCCCGAGCAAACCTGTGGCCTTACGTGTGAAGAACTGTCGCTGGACAATATCCGTTTCCCGGATAAGCTAAATCACGGAAAAGATGTCTCCTAATTCCGGAAATTAAATACGAGAAAAATGATGACCAATGCGTTGGACAAACACAGTAAAAACGCACTCCGGTAGCTGCTATCAAGATGTGCCGCAAAGGAATCAGCTCTGATGGGTGAGAGCTCACAAAAGAAAATAAGACTTGTCTCTGTTCCATGAACGGATTTTAGTGAAGGGACATTTTGCTCTGTAAATTTGTCCAAGGTTGTTCTACTGAACTTGTAAAAACTCTCTGCTCAAGAGTATTGTTAAGAGGTTAGCAGAACTTATCAAAAGCAATCGCCATGAAAACTGGTTTTTTTAGCTGAACACTGGATTGACCAACCAGTATCAACAAAATAGTTGTTTATTTCTCAATAAACAGTGTGGTTTGTCATTTTGAATTTCTTTGTCAATCCAGTGGATTTTTTACTGAGTTCAACGCTTGATTCCAAACTGATAGTTTTTGCATTATCCTCGCAAGCATCCGGTTGCTACATGCAAGAACTAAAGTATTTTATGCCCAGCCTTATGGGCTCATCCTATTAAACCAGACTGTGTAATCTTCGTAGGATTCTGTCTGTATGTGGCAAGGATCACTGATCTAAGACAAACAGTTAGATGTGTCGCCAACATGAGTGTGCGAGTTACCCGCCTCCACTCGTCCGTCCATTTACAAATATGGCAGCTCAGGCTAACAGCCAGCCCGAGAAGAAGTCACAATTCCGTATAGGATCGAATTAACTGTCTATAAATAACTAGTCGGTAGAGGTCATATTCTTAGGTGGTGAGATTTCTACTCATACAGTTTTCGATCACCTCATGAATCTTGACCTAACCACAAGTGCACTTTTCTGGATGTGAGTTCCTAATCCTTGGACTCATAAGTGTCAGATCACGGAATCGATGATTATTCAGGAAAATTGTAATCCGTTTGAGGCCAGTGTACCAGTTCCGATCTAACAAAACGTGTCTTCTTCCATGACTTTTGCGCTACGGTTCACTTATCGCTGCAGTTCGTTCTGATTGGCTATCGTAAAGACGTCAAACAAGCTCCTAAAACATCGATTAGGGATTTAATTAGAAAAAAATGTATAAAAGTCCGTTTTTTGGATCTAAGGAATGCGACCATGTGATCACTTTCCGCCTTACGGTCGGGTCATATGACACCGTCTGTTTTACCACCTGATACAGGCAGCAGCTGAATATTCTCTTGCGGTGCTTTGCTCTATGGCATGTTGTCTCTCATCAGACTAATAACTTTACCCTGTCACATGTGCGCTCCGAAACTGATCATCTCCGCGTCACATGTTGCTTTAATGGTATCCAAAATCAACGCCCACTCTACTAATGGCTGACAGCATTGATCTGATAGAGAACTAAAAAACTCACGTGATCCGGTTCGTCAATTTTCAGAATGTGATATTTTTGGTAAAGATATTTCAAAATTCCGATAGCATTGGCTTCTGCGACGAAGTGAATGATGGTTTGTCCTTGCTAAAGAGGAGAAATTACGAGGCCTAAGTGTGACGGTAGGGAAACCTCGTTTGAAAGCTTATCTCAAAATGTCATACCTTACCGGCATATTATTAGACGGAAGGAAAGTTTGGAGCTTACAGTAGGGTTAATTATGTATTGAGTTATGATCTTGGTCAACAAATCCATCCAAGCTACGGATAAACTCATTTTTTGAAACCGCCACCACATGAAAATGCCTTGAAAGAAATGACCAAACTATGTGTTTGTGATCGACTCTCTTGACGTTAATTTCCTTTACGTATTTTAATTTGACGCATTCAGCGCTAATCTAGCAAGTTTAGCACTATTACGTTGCTGTGTGATTGCACTCTCCTGTAAAGGTTAGTAAACTTTTTCAATGCCAGAATTGTAAGTGCAGTTAGCCTTATCCTTTCCAACTGGCCTGACTAGTGGTTTTACAACGAGAAACTGCTTTAACTGACGTTCGAAATTCGTCACGTAATATCTTCATGTGCAGCGTTAGTCCGGAAAAAAGCTCTTTGTCTGGCTTAAGGTAATTTAGTTGGTTTCCCATTTCATGTCAGACGTAAAGAAAATTACCAAGTTGTTTTTTTATGGAAACAGCTAATGTACTTGGTAAAGTCAGCAGAAAATCGAAGCAAATAATAACGTTTAGGTCAGCGTTAACACGTGAAAAACGAATACCGGGTTGTTTCGTTCTAACCAGTACATTCACTAACAGACAGTATGGTAAATTAGCGGTCCAGCAGCAAAGATATATGCCATGAGACGGCCGAAGTTATGTGGGTCTGCCGAATTTACTCAGATATACCAGACCAGAGGACTGCAATGCACAATGCCATTTCAACTGTAGAAGTTTCCGGAATTCACAATGACAAGTAGGTAGAGTAGTTATCACAGGGTTTCAGATAAATTAGGTGAGATTTTCCCCACTCGTCACAGATAGCGTCCGGCTAGGAAGGGCAGTGTACATTAAGCTCATCTCGGTTGGATCCGATTTTAAATTACTGAGATACTGAGTTCTCTCACTAAATAATTCTGATTTCGTAAGTTTTCTGTTGTATGTGATCATGTTAATTAAAAATTGCATTATGGCTGGTCCTATTTTTTGTGTGGTAACCGTCCGTTGGTTAAGTTATTCGTTATTCTCAGCAGTATACTTTTTGAGGTATATGTGAGTAAGTGTTTGGCTACCTTATGGGTCAGAAGTTGGGACGCTCACAATTTGAGCCTACTGTAATTCGGATGCAACGTGTTAGTATCGTTCCGATAAAATATCAGAAGAATGCTGCTTAGGGGGAAGTGTTTGCCTCAAACTCAAAGGCTACCGCGGCAAAATGTGTCATTATGCATCGCGGTGAAACATGAAGACCGTGTTGCGAATGTATGTAAATCGAAATTAATTCAACGAATCTTAAACCGATCAATTTTGTTTAATTACATCGCTATAGCAACAAGATGGCCCGCAGCTTTATACAAAATAGGTCGCCCTGTTGTTCCCCGTCCGCGTTGCGAGATATCATCCCGTAAGTAGAACTAATTTGTACAAAAGGTACCATACAGTTGTTTTTATCCCTATTGAATGTCATCAGCAGTGAGCACTTCAAAAAATCTCCCGGGAGTCTTCAAGATGCGCCCTGCCGTTCTGTAGCAACCAATCAGAACCAATCAGCAACCAATCCTTCATTCAAGGAACCCACGCCATATTTTTACGCACCGACCGAAAGCTTCCTGTCTTCTTGGCTTTTCAGTATAGACCGCTTTTACTTGGAGGAAGAAATGTCATTTGTAAATAACAAAATTTTCTCACACAAACATGGACATCCAAGTGGCTCAGAGAAACAATAGCTTCACAAGATGAGGGAAACCTCAATTTGAGAAGTTGTGATTCCCGGCGTCAGTCAACCCCCGATTTTGCTTCTGTAACTTTCACTTACATTATGAACCCCCAGTTATTT